CTGTTTTGCACGTTACGTAAAGCACACCCAGACCTGTGTTGCACCAGAGTTTGCAGAATGCAAAAAAGGCTTAGGCAGCTTCCTTTCCACTCCCCTCTCTTCCTCAAGTGCAGAAATAAAACAACAGAGAACCCTGCCTAGAGCATGGGAGTGAATATTATTGCCTTGAAAGCAATGAAGAGCTGTGTGAGGAAGGTGTGTCACAGAGCAGCTGGTTTTGGCCCAAGCCCTGAGAATGAGCTCCCAAGAAATACCCGCTTAGAGTGACTGGAGTTGTAACTTCAGGATAAAAAGCAAATTCGGGTATAAAAGAAACCAACCCAAAATGTGTATTGATTAAGGGACCCAGTTTGCCAAACAGTGTCTTAAGGCATGGTCAACAGCAGCAACCCTTCTGGAAGCTTGCCAAGTGGAGTTATTTTTTGCACTGTCAAGTGCCTTCAGATAATTTTTCTGAAGGGTGCTATATAAATAAAACAACTGCCTGATTGATTTAAAGTGAATCTCTTGAATTTTGGCTTCCCTTTCTACAAATTACATGTGTCTAATTTTCCCTGTTTCGAAAATTAAACCCGGTACATCATGGGTGGAATGAGATTAATTTTATTACACACAATGGGTCATTAGTGAAATAGGAGCAATTTCATGTATTTATGCATAGCCTGCCCAGAATTTTTTCACTGCAGCTCTTTCAGATGTAAATAAAAATATAATGCTCATTGAATTGCTTATTAGACACATACAGTAATAGAAAGTGTTTATGGGGTTGTACTGCAGGTTACATTTCTATATTCCTAGGAAACATCAAGTTGAAATTGGCACTGGAGACTAAACCCAGATTTGGTTGACATTTTGACCAGCAGTTTGAGCTGACCAGAATAACTACAGAGGCAAAAGGTTGAATTGTTGCATGCTCAGTGCAGGTTCTGCAGTGTGCTGAGAAGTGGGTTGGTGTGCCTTGTGGAAAACAGAAGCTGGAGCTCAGTTCTGGAAGGCCCAGGAATTCAAAGAGGGGCTGAGCCTTTGCAACAACCATCCTAACCCAGTCTGGTGAGGACTTCCAGAGCTGAACCCAGAAGGGGAGATTTCATCAATCATAGAAACATAGAATGGTTTGGGTTGGAAGGGACCTTGAAGATCATCTAATTCCAGCCCCCCTGCATGGGCAGGGACACCTCCCACCAGCCCAGGCTGCTCCAAGCCCCATCCAACCTGCCCTTCAACACTGCCAGGGATGGGGCAGCCACAGCTTCTCTGGGCAACCTGGGCCAGGGTCTCACCAGCCTCACACTAAAGAGTTTCCTCCGCACGTCTCACCTCAATCTCCGTTTTTCAGTTTTAATCCATTCCCCCTTGTCCTCTCACTCCATGTCCTTGTCAAAAGCCCAGCTTTCCTTTAGGCCTCCTTCAAATACTGGAAGGCTGCAGTGAGGTATCCCTAGAGCCTTCTCTTTTCCAGGGTGTTAGGAGGATGGGAGCAGACTTTCCTCAGTGGTGTCCAGTGACAGGACAAAGGGCAGTGGTCAGAAGCTGGAACACAGGAGTTTCAACCTAAACAAAAGGAAGAACTTCCTTTCTGTGAGGGTGGTAGAGCCCTGCAATTGGCTTCCCAGGGAGACTGTGGAGTCTCCTTCTGTGGGTACATTCAAAATCCACCTTGATGTGTTCCTGTGTGATCTACTGTAGGTGATCCTGCTCTGGCAGGGGTTGTACTGGATGATCTTTAGAGGTCTCTTCCAACCCCCACGATTCTGTATCTCTTCTTGGCTTGTGCTGAGGAGGTGGCATTTGTAACCAAGAGCTGCAGCAGCCTGTGTGTGCCCTGGATACAGAGGAGAGTGTATTAGTGTCACACAAATTCACATGGAGTGGTAGCCATACATCTGGGGCTGCTGAGTGAAGGTTCCCCTGGTTTGAACTGCATAGTATTTATGTGCTTGCGTCTGTTTCTGTCGAGTTGCTACCACATGTGAATATGCTGCTGCTTTCTTGATGCCACAAGTATCTTTGTAGCCCAGTTTATTCCTGTGTAGATAAGAGCAGCTGGCAGCTGGATGAGACGAGCAGACCTGCTAGTGTCAGTCCTGAGTCAGCCAGCAGGATCAATGTTTTGAGGCAGTTCTCTCTCCCAAGTGGCTGATCAGAGGAGCTGCACAGAGATTTCTGCGTCTGGAACAGAATTCTTTTTCATTATGCAGTAACATCATGTTGCAACACAATTAGAGGAGCTGTTCCTAATCCTTCCTGCCTTTGCTATTAGTTTCAGATCTCTATCTAGTTGGTAATAAATACGTGTCCTCCTGAAAGACATGCGAACAGTGATGATGAAATTGTATATTTCCAGCTAATTACAGCATAAACCTGTGCAGTTTGTCTGGTGTCATGCAGTTCTCACTGGTTTCTTCTCAGAACTGGTAAAACTATGCAAGGTGACCTTCTGATACAAAGTGCTGTGCTGAGGCCATCAAACTCGCCTCATGTTGGGCCACAGTAAATGAATCTGTATATTCAGATGTCTTTACTGGTCCTGCTAAGCCCTTTGGAGTCACTCGAGCATTTTTATAGAACCTTTATAAATTTGATTCTTTCTTTTAAAAAAAGATCTGTGTATTTACTTAAGGAATAAAGTGGGCGTTATCTTCCTAAAAGATACAGCTAGAGATACAGCTTTAGTATCCCTAGGTGGGAATTAGGGAACAAGAATGGATTCTTTGTAAGGAATTACTGGTTATTATTACAGACTTCTGAAAAAAGACATGAAATTAACAGTTGTGTGTCACTTCATTACTGCTTTGGCAGTCTGCTTTCTCTCTTTTTAAGGGTAAGATGGTTGCTAGGGCTTTGTAGTGAATAACCTTTTTGTATTCAGCTCAAGATGGAGTATAATTATTTTATAATCTTGGTTCATGGGGCTCTTTTAGAAGTTTTCAGGAAAAAAAACCAACTCAGCTTCTGTTAAATCCCCCTCCCCACGTACTCAGCTACAGGCATTGGCATGTCACAGCAACAGAGAGAGATGCTCTGTGCCTGTCCTCATCTCCTGCACTTGGTATTTGCCCAAGGATCTGGCTACCACTGGTGAGATGAATGTAGACTTGACATTGTTACAAGCTGGCACTGATTGATTTTGAAAAGTGAAGTTCCCTGTCAAGGTGTGTGTCTGGTTTAGTGGTATAATCACTGCAGGGATGAGATGGTGGACAGCAGCTGCTGGGAGTGGAGGATTTGCTCATTGGGTTGAAGCTGACATGCTGCAAACTCATGTAGCTCTTTGGCTTCAAGAGGAAAACATTTCTAGGAGTCTTCAAACCTACTGTTCCAAGTGATTATCTGTGCTTCCCCCCCCACTCCATCAGGCAGGACAGGTTTGCAGTCAGATAGTCCCATACAGCTGTGTTAGAGCTGCCTGCAGTGGGGCAGGGAGATGGCGCCAGGGGAGGATCCATCAGATCAAAACTGGGTGTCTCAAACACGGGTATCTCCATCTGAGCCTTTTGTCCAGGGTTACTCAGTAGCCCTGGAGAGTAAGTTCATGGTCACTCACCTAAAGATGTGGGTTGCCCCATCTGACAGCCAGTCACCCCAGCTGAACCACGTGCTTAACTCAGGGCTGTGTGGGCTGAGATGGCCATGGGGAACACTGGCCTTGGCTGTCCTGCCAGGAGGGATGCCAGCCCTGGCTGTCTTGCCGGGGGGATGGCAGCCCTGGCTGTCCTGCCAGGAGGGATGGCAGCCCTGGCTGTCCTGCCAGGAGGGATGGC